CACATGGCTAATACTGTCTTTAGTATCATGTATGGCAATCAAATGTTCATTCTAAAACTTTCACATTGCATGATATTCACAACTTATTATACGTTGAATAAAAATAAATTCTTTTTTGTTGCTGATTGCCTGTCTGTTTACTTCCAGGGATGTACCGAGAAGTTGGAAGATGCTCTCATTGATAATTTTGAAAAAATAGCTGGTGTGGCGATTGCTATTGCTGTTGTTGAGGTGAGAACTACAGACTGTTGTTTGTTCTTCATGACATTTCATGGATGTTGTTTATTCTAGGATAATATTTTTAAAATCATATGCATTATTTTTTTTCAAAATATTTGATTTAGATCTGTAGTCAATTAAAAAAAAAAATGATGCCTATTTGAATGAAAATTAGAAAAAGTGTCAGAATAAACTTCAGGCATCATTCACAAAATATTTAAATAATTTTTTTTAACTATCAAATTTTTCGTTGAAAAACTAGAATGAATGTCGCATTTTGTCTGTTGTGTCCAAAATTAATTGAATTCAGTGAAAATTACTGTGAATGCTTTTTAGCTGTTAAAGAATATTTGAAAAGTTGGAAACCCACAATAATTAATCATTGTTAACCTTTGCACTATCAGACTTCCTTGTCTAAATTGTTCTGCACTTTTTTTCTTATATTCTTCAATATTTCTAGACATGAACCATAATTCTGGTGCCAATAGACAAAATTTCACTCAATTTTTAGTTTTTACTCAAAAAATTTAGCTATATTTGTCCAGATCTTCTAAAGGAAAATGCAGACTATATATTGGAGTATTTTGTTAATAAAAATGTGGACATTAACATTAACACATCTGGATATCACAATAACATTCACACAACTCAAAAACAAATATTTTTACAGAAAAAAAATAAAATATTTTGTTAAATGTACATGTAAACTTGACAATAATATACATATTTTTTCATTTTTCAGTTGCTTGGAATAATCTGTGCTTGTTGCTTGATGAGGTCAATCAAGAGCGAATATGAAGTAGTATAATTGCATGAGGTCATCACCATGACAACAAGATTTTTTTTTTAAACCTGCACTGTTTTAAGTTGGGAAATTAATCATGAAATTTATATACTTCACATTAAGCAAAATAAAGTGATATATTGGTTGTCTTGTGAAGTGATAAGACAACTCTCTTGTGGTCTTCCCAAATGTTGTCTTTAATGTGTATCACAAGCCTCGCTAATAATTTCTTTCTCTATTGTACATGTGCCTCCAGTTTATTGACCATCCTGTTTTTCATGGTTTATTTCTCACTGAGACTTAATGTAGACAAAACATGCATTATTTGGATGTGCTGTTCTGCATTACTCTGATTGAATTCAGATCTACAAGACTTGATGAATATAATACAGCTGCTCTGCAGGATGGAAAGATTTCTTGGTTTTAGATGAAGTAGAAGAACAAATTTTTTAAGTGCAAGCACAGAAAAATGTTTTTACATATCATTCAGTCTTAAATGTAGTTATAAATTTTAAGAGCATGAAAGTTGTCACTAGTTGTGAACTTTTTTTGAGAGAGATTGTGAGATTCACTGACATTACCTGAAATTAGAGGATGTATTTAATGATTTGGTGGTCAATAGACTATTTGATTGGGTAACTTTGGGTGAATGGATACCAAATGGTAGTTCAAAAGTGATTTGTCCTATTATAACCATTTCACTGCCATTGTCAAACTGTCTCCCTCCACAAAAAGTATTCATTTTAAAGATTGGAATAAAATATTGATCAAAATGTGAACTACCGGTAAAGCTGAATTTAAAACAAAAATGTAGCAAAATTTCGATGACACTTTGGCGTGAACAATCAGCAGTGAAAACGGTTATAGGATTTTCTGTTCTGTACTTCATTGAAAAATTTATGCATGGTACCAGGACTCGATTCAATTTAAACAGAATTGAAACGAGGGGGGAAAAAAAACCAGTGTTTTTGCATAGATAAATTTTGAAAAAGAACTTGTTTTAAAATGAAATGTAATTCTTGAAGTAATCATGTCACAATTTTTTATTATGTCACTTGACTTCTTCCACAATTTCCACTTTTTATTACGTTGTACCCAGCATGCTGTACTTGTACAAGGCTGACACGCTGGCTTGTCTCGTTTCGTTTTCTGATCAATTGAGAGAAAAATGTTAGTGTATTGTTAGATTTGTATTAATATTAATGTGGTTGTTGGGTGGTGCTACATTTGTCATAGAGGGCGTACTTTCCTTTCATAGTTTAATTCCGTTGAACAATAACATAACTGCTTCATAGAATATCGTATTTCATATACGGTAGCTCAGTTTTCGTGACGCAGGATCAACGATAAATATAATAGACTGCTCCTAGTTATTAACCAGACAACTTGCTATACCCACCCATTTGTTACCAATATAATCGTTTAAATTTTAGAATTAACTATCTTAGCACTTCTTTTTTTTACTGTGTAGCTAGCTATTATGACTAGGCAAATTAACTTATTGTCTGCAGGTCGCTTGTTTTTATATTTGAGGTGGCTGTACCGGATATAAGATTTATTGCTCTGACATGCTTCTATTTATAACTAGTGCAAACGTATTACATCTTTTATAATATTGCATATTGTCATACACCATGCTTAGTCTGAAATTTTTTTTAGAGTTTCCAAAAATGATTAAGAATAGCTTGAGTAAATGGTAAAATCATACTACTAGATTTCTGTACAAAAAGCGTAAACCTGCTCTTGGTCTCGGCATCACAATTTTTTGGAGGAATCTCTTTTGACGTATGAATTTAAAACATGTTTACACAAAAATTGAACATGCGCTGCACACTGGTCATATGCTTCAGTCGATGTGCAGCAAACATTGACACTGTATATACTGCATAGATTGTACGTCACATGGGACTGATATCAAACCTGACATATGGTGATGAATTTGACACTTGAGAAATGTGCCAAGCAAAATGTCTGTTCAACATTGAGACAAATTTACTACATCTCTCACAGATATATAGACTGAAATATTTTTTTCTTTATTCATGAATATGCACGATTCATAATCTACAAATTATGCTGTATAATTCCAAGGTTTAAACAATTTATATAAATACGAATGTGTAATTATTCATCAATGTGTTGATAAGAATAGTCAAGTGCCATCTGCTTTTTTCTTGCTAATTTTTTTCACACATTTAACCCAAGTAATGTATCCTGAGCCAAACTGACATTTATTTTATCAGATAAATTTATATGGAATAAAATGGTGATCATGTGTTCCATGTGCACAGACTGCTGGAAAACTACTCTCAATTCATTTCCAAGCTATTTGCATAGTGTTGACCTTGTTACATGACACATCGCCATGCATTTCCATTTATTACCACAATAATTTTACTCGGTATCACATGCATTAAAAAAAATATGAAAAATTAGCAACAAAAACACTGCTTGTGCACCTTTAACCAATTTGTAAAGATTCTGCATATGCACCAGTGATTTCATAAACCTGTTAAGAAAAACTATTGTTGAAATTTTCATTACTTTTTATCTTTTTCCAAATTTTACAAACTTGATTTACATGATATCAGAATATTATCGATTTAGAAAGATGATTCAGTATTAATCTTAGTATTGCTGGTATATTCTGTAGTATACTTTGAAGGCTCAAATTTATAGATAGCGCCCTCTTTGACCATACTCTCAATAGAGGGTGCTCTTTTAACATTACTGTGAAGATGATTTTATGATCATGGAGCTTAGATTAGACTAAATTAACTTGTATATCTCTATTTCAAATAAAAATAATTTTTCAATCGTGCGATTGTTCTGTTTTTGTGTCCATGAAATGTGCCATTGATAAATGTTTCTACATTGCACATCAAACCTTTAAAGCATTGTGGAAAAAGAATCATGGGAATTTGTTGATGCTCATTTGTATTGAAGAACCTCAGCTTTCTTTTGTCTTCAAAACATGTGTATGCATGTCTGTTGCACAGATATCTGAAGAACTGCTGGTTCGATTTCAATGAAACGCGATACATAGGTGCAGACCTGATTAGTTTTGTGATAAAAATGTGTGTATCAATTACCTTATTTGCATAATTAATAGAAATTTTTTGGCTTTTTCACCAATGTCTCAAATACTATTCGTCACATTTCAATGAAACTTGATGCTCTAGGAAATGGACATGCTTGATCTGTTTTGTGGTAAAATTTGTTCATTTTAAATTGCGTAATTATTTGTATCCCCTGGGCTTTTCAAAGTACATCTTGAGTACTAATCATCACATTTAACTGGTACATAGATGCCTCTGTCATTGAACAGGCCTGATTGGGTGAGAGTAGAATTCAGTGCTATTCTTGTACACTAAATTTGCATAATGTGCATAATCTTTTTTGGTACATAGAAGTTCTGAGGCAATCTACAGACATGATTAATTTAATAATGAAAAAACATGGATTGATAAATGATACCAATGGCAAATTTCTGATCTCAAAAAATCAGATTTTTATTGAACTTGTGGTACAGATGCTCTGAAATAAATCAGACTGCAAAAAACATGTTCTATCACATTCATTTTCTGTTGATCATAATGTTTTCATGTGCGTCACAAAATGTGAACCAATATTAGTCAGTAAGCTTCTGAATTTTAAATATGCCTACAATACTCTTAGCACACACAAGGTCTAAGCTTTCTTTGACTCTTATTTGTTAGTCCAGGTAAAATATAATGCGCCAAGATTTCCAGCTGTTTGTATGCTGTCATAATTATTCCTTGCACAACAACAGAAACCAGAGTTTTGGCCGAAAAGAAGATTACTGGTAGATTTATTCCAGGTAAATTTAAAATGCAGATTAGGCAGACAAACAAACAAATCTAAGCCAAAATTAAAAAGACAAATGCCAAGAATTAAAGTGTTAGGGTCAGATCGCCCGCTTGAATTTAAGAGTGAATACATGCTGCAGTGTGAAGGCAATGACCGAAGGATGATTCATCATACAGCAAGTATGCCAGTGAAGACCAATTGCCCTGAGCTTTGACAGCGTCTGGTTTGGCACTAGATTGGAAGGTGAAAGACGCACCTCCATGCCGGAAGCTATGATCTGAATAAGAGTCTGGGTCAAGACTGATGCCACGCAGCAAAACTGACAGATGATGTGTGAAAGACCAATGTGTGAGTGGATGAAGTATACCAGCTGAAGTTGGAATCAGGAATGCAGGTGCAGTGGACAGAGCTGGAATCATCAGAATCATGTGTTTGTAAGCCATGGCTGGACACAAACTGAAGGCGAGTCGTGAATCGCTAGGACAGGCACATGAAGAACTCTCTCGCCGAACCAGGTAGATAGTCTTGGACCAGGTAACCCACACCACCAGACCTGCATCAGAAAAACAGATTTTCCCATGTGTAAGGTGCTCGTTGATGTTAAATTCAGATGCTGAGCAGGGAACCATATTTAATTTACGAAAAAATGTATAAAAGCAAAGGAGAAATGCAGCCCACAAGGTAACATGAAGCGGACTGCGAAGGTTGAGACAATGGTAGATGCGAAAATGTCTGAAGTAATGGGTATGAATCTTTTGTAGAAACAAACTATGAATATACAACACAGCACTATTTTGAATTCAAAGTTACTAGCGATGGAGGGTCCAAACCCATGAAAAGATGCAGCAGCTGGACGCCACTCAGGTAATTACAAAGCAGTTGAAGAAAATGAATGGGCACGAAACTGCACATACCGAACAAGAGTCTGCGGAGAAACTGGGAGTGGCACCAGCCAAAGGTAACAACAAAACAGGAGAAATGCTCATGCTCGCCACTGGGATAACATATTACACTGATAACCTGAAGTCAAAGCAGACCGCAGAGATTGTGTGACCTGGCTGAGATAGTCTAACGCAACTATGAGAGATATGGGATTTGCTTGGCGCATAAGCCAAATTGACAACACCAGGGATGTGGACAGCAGGGAGGTCAAATTCCTGGTGAGATTGGATAAAAGCATTGAGTTATCACACCAGCAGTTTTGTTCCAAGAAGACCAAATACCTTTGTTGATTTTTGGCTCAATTGAAATGTCTGCCTCCAAGCCAACATCATGTGACACTTATTCAGCCTCAGGATCTAGCTTCATCCATCAAATGAAAATTCATTACGAGTCCTTTCTATCTAAGACATTGAAGCAGTTTACTCCTGTTGATATGGTGCATATCGATTGTTAGGAGGCCTTACGTGGAAGTGTTAACATTTGCCATTAAATGAAAAAAGCTAAGATGTGAGACAATTTACTACATTGCCCCAGCAATTGTTAGGAACCCTTACATTGAAGTGCTTGGTGAAATCTGCCTTGGATCAATACGTCACTTTACTTGCTGCCTTGTAATTGATGTTTCTTTGTCCTTTGCTTAATCATTGAATGAACAAAATAATCATGTCAAAGGTATAAACTGTGAAAACAGTTATTTCTATGTTTCCTGGTCTGGACAATCAAGGTCGCCATAATAACTTTCTGGCTTTGAATGGCTTCGGCAGTTCATTTGGTTGTTACTGTGGCTGCAATTCAACATGTTTTAGAAGGGTGCACTTGGTATCCTCATGAGCATACTAGCATGGACTTGGACATTAAGATAAGCTACATTTATTTCACTCAACCACAACCTGGGTACGTTATTGCTACATATCATATGTAGTCAGTCGGATAACTTGAGTGTGACAGCATCAGCTTCAGGTCATCTTCAAGCATTGTCCGTGTTGTGTTGTGAACCTGAAGGGTCGGATAATGTTGATTGATCTCTTTACCATCAAGATCCATGCTTCCTTGTACTTCAAGGGCGGCATCAGTTTCACTACCATACTTCCATGTAAATTATAAACTTTTCAAACATATGGAAAAATGGAGTTGTCAGATGTCCTGTCGTAAATCTTGCCGGACATTGTTTGATGTCACAATTATGAGGGGGGGCAAGGGTTATTTTCGTTCAACGTAATTGCAATATTTTTTTGTTCGTACAACGTAAATAGAAAAAATAAATTCCGTAATTCTGTAATCACAGGCTAGACGTACAACGTAATCAATCAAATATTTTTTTCGTACACTGTAAAAATGTGTCATTTTTCTCGGTACGTACAAGAATTTACATACAAATAAAAAAATCGTAAAAAATAATCCAGGGAAATTCCATTTCAGAAACTGTAAAACGACTAGATGACACAATTCACTACAAAATTGAATGTCAAGACGTAAAAGGCCCTCTAACCGAATGAAGAGCATTACGAGGATAATATACGCATGCGTCTCTACACACGGCGCAGTAATGGCGGAGAATTTGAGTCAGAGAGCTCTTCGGACCATTCAATTGTCAATTTTTTAACACTGTAAACTGTAAAAACATCTTTTTTTCCTTGTAAATTGTAAAAAGCCCTTTTTATTTCCCGTAAAACCGTACCAGCTACCCCCCTTGCCTCCCCTCAATTATGTCTTGCTGTCAAATTCAGTGTGATAGTGAGCCTGATGAGGAGGATATTTGACTTTCCATGTTGCAAAACTTGTCTGCTTTATTTGCTGCTTTTGATGTGTTGGCTGATCTAAACCATTTGGTAATGATTTATCATGCTTTGTTTGCACAACTACGCTGCACGGCAAATGTGATATCCCAGAGTTCAATGCGTTTTGTACCATTCAATATACACTTTATCTCCGCACGAGGGCGCAATTTCAAATTGAAAGAAAAACTAGCATACACGCTATTTAGTCCAATTGATGTATGCGCACGCTATATACCTCACGAATAGAACCTCACAGATACGACCTCACGAATAGGACTCAGGAAGTGACGTATTGATTGTTCAATGGCGTTGTGGCACATTATAATTTAACGTTGCCGGGCCCATTAGTATCAATATATTTGGTATTTCGTAAATAGAAACTGAGTT